GACAATTGAAAGACGTAATCACTGCCATTGTCAACACCGCATAATCTGGAATAATCCCTGTGGAGACGGAATGGAAGTGAGGGCGCCGCAGGCCTCCGGCGGCCAGGAAGGAAGATTCGGAGCAGCTGCGGTGGCGGGAACTTTGAAACAAGCAGATGGTGGAACGGCTCTTCATAAAATATGTACAAAATAAACTTAAAAGTGCGTTCAGCATCTTATTCCGGTAACATAAAACGTCGTTTAACTGAAAAACCAAATGAGAGTATTTAATCCACTCGATCTCAAAGAAATATATCGCAATAATTATATCTGCAACATGTTTACCAGGTTATGTTGTCAGTACTGTGAGGGACCCTTCAATGTCTCAGTCTTCCCCCCTGTCAACGTCACAGTACTGGTGCCATCAAGTGCTCCATGTGCACACATATATACACAATATATATATATATATATATATATATATATATATATATATATATATATATATATATATATATATATATATATATATATTACTAAATACGCTCACACACAAAACTTTAGAGTCCCGATCGTATAGTGAGCTTGATGAAGTGATTAAAGGAGAGAGAGAGAGAGGAGGGGGAGGGGGGTGGGGGGGGGGGAAGAAGGATGGAAGGGGAGAAAAGGAGAGTGGGAGACGGGGGGGGGGGGGAAGTATGGAAGGGGAGAGAGAAAGTGTGTGTGTATTAACCAGCGCCACCTGCGCGGATTGTCACATATTATAAATAGATTTCCATTAATCTTGTTCTGAAATATTCAATATATTTCCCTTGATAGGGCCTCCAGCACAGCGTACCTCAAGGCCTTCACCTGATGATAAAAGCCTAGTCCCTTAACACTATTTAAAGCCCCTGAGGATCCTCCTGAACGGGCTCACCGTAGCCCGTGCTACATGGACACTTCGTTCTGAGTAGCTAAATCTAAAACAACAACATCCTTCTGAAAATCACTTTGAAGGTATATGAAGACGTACAAACTAGAATAAAGAACTGCAATAGGCCTGTTGGCCCATTCTAGGCGGGTTCCGTTTAAATCAATCCCCCCTCTCATCAAGCATAGACCTGTCCGATCTGTTCTTGAAAACTGTTGAAGTGTTTGCCGGCTGGCAGCCCATTCCACTCATCAAAAACCCTATTTCGAATCCAATACTTACCTATTCCGACAGTTTCAGAATCCTGTTTATATCCCCAACTCACTTGAAAACATCGGTCATATCCTCCTTTGTCCTGTATCTCTCTCTAGCGTGTAGACTGAGACGTCTTGAATTTGTCAAGATAGGAAAGCTCCCCGATGCATGGTTTCAGCTATGACATTATTATCTGTATTATTGTGACTAGAACCGCACTGTGTAGTCCAAGTGGGGGCAGACAGTGCTAGATATAACTAAGATATTCGTGCTTCTGTTGTTAGTTCTTATTATAAATCCTAGCACCCTGTTTGTTTTATTTCGTTCATTTATGTATTGCTGTCAAGGCCTCAGGTCGCTGCTAACATGACTCAATTTTCTCACAGTTTGATCTACCCATGACTGTATTACTGATGTGGTACATAGCATCACTGTCTTTCACTAATTTAAGAAATCTGCATTTCTCAACGTTGATCTTGCATCTTGATGTCTTTTTTTTAAATCTTTCCCAGGATTGCTTTACTGCCAGATTAATTTAGACCAGGGGTATATGAGGTCGGAACAGAGAAAAACAATTCAACCACATGGACCATTGGGGATTTAACGTATATGGTCACTAAGAAAATTTCTGGGAAAATAATTGTCTATATATATAAAATAATGGCAAGAGATGTGAATATAATTCTCTCAAGAGAACAATTTGAAGAATCATTACAGGACTTGATTGTAGTCCTAGACCGACTGAAACGTCGTCACTTCCTTTTATTTCAGATTTGTGGGTTGGGTCTCTACTCTTAAGAATCTTTAGGAACATCATTATCTTCTCGAGACAATTAATGATTCATTCCAGTCCCCGAGAAATCATAACATGAAATATAATTATTCACCAGAGTATGAGGATATTTCTTTTTTTAACCAAGGGCATCATAGTTCCCAAAGTTATCAAAAACCCATTATATAGGACTTATTTTACACGAGTCTCCAATGTCTGCTGGACTAAAAATAAACATTAGTATTACAGGAACCAAAGACGACCATTATATATCATAAGGCACCATGTAGCACACTACATGCATCTTCACCATGAATAAGGCGCACCAGGAGCTACACCACTCCCAGTATATACCAACACATTGGCTTGCCTCCACTTTGTGATGGTGCTCCACTTTAAACTGAACCAGCACAACCACTGCGTATTGACCTCTGCCCTGGCCCGCACTCACGCCTGCTGCCTAACAGTAAGTGTAAGTCTACCTCATAAACACAAGTGAGCACGGTTGTGTACACTTTCTGCAAACATGAATTTCAGAAGCCACTGACAAGAATTCCCATACTCAACACTAATACCAGAGGGAAGTGCAATATGAAAACTGACTTAACAAACGTTGTAAAACTGATAAGGAAAAGCCTCTTCGTCGAGTCGGTCATGAAAGAGTGGATGATTCTACAGTCGATCGGTGAGAATCATCATTTTCTATGCTCACCACAGCGCAATTTTGCAATCTTATATAGACCTTTGGGGCGTTGTGCTATTTGGATAAAAGATCTAACTTTACATCTAAATACAGTTAAAAAAACAAAGTGTATGCAATACTTAGTAAAGTTTCATGCACCACTGCAAAGTTCTGTTCACTAAAACAAATATATCTAACCTAATCCAACCTTTATTTATTCTAACCAGGCGCAATCTAAACTTACCTTTCCTAACCTATCTCAGCCTAACTCTTCCTGAAAACCCGGAAAGAAAGTTGTTTGAATAATTACCGAACGGAAACCTATAAATTAAAAAAAAAGAGTTAGGAGATGCATGGTTCCTGTAGGAGACGGGGCAGGAAGCTCCGAAGCGCTAGGATTTCATTCCCACTGACTAATGGATTTCACTTTCTTTGAGAAGCCTGGGTGCTCGCGTTCTTCATGAAGGCTAAATGCGTGTGTATTTTTTGAATATTAGCGGGTTCTTGTTCCTTATGTGAAGCCTAGGTTCACGAGTTTTATGTGAAGGCCAGATGCTTGTGCTCTACGTGAAGGCCAGGTGCTTGTGCTCTACGTGAAGGCCAGGTGCTTGTGCTCTACGTGAAGGCCAGGTGCTTGTGCTCTACGTGAAGGCCAGGTGCTTGTGCTCTACGTGAAGGCCAGGTGCTTGTGCTCTACGTGAAGGCTAGGTGCTTGTGCTCTACGTGAAGGCTAGGTGCTTGTGCTCTACGTGAAGGCCAGGTGCTTGTGCTCTACGTGAAGGCCAGGTACTTGTGCTCTACGTGAAGGCCAGGTACTTGTGCTCTACGTGAAAGCCAGGTACTTGTGTTCTACGTGAAAGCCAGGTACTTGTGCTCTACGTGAAAGCAAGGTACTTGTGTTCTACGTGAAGGCCAGGTACTTGTGCTCTACGTGAAAGCCAGGTACTTGTGTTCTACGTGAAAGCCAGGTACTTGTGTTTCACCTTAGTTACCTGAGGATGCAATGTTAATAGAGGGAAAGGGTAAGAGAGATATAAACAGACAGGTAAACAACGAGACAGTTGGTTGTACAAAAACAGGAATAATTGTTTTGGCAAATAGAGACGATTACAAATAAATAGATGAATATATAAACTTTTCATTGATGTATATATGATTTATATTGTATATTATTTAATAAAGATAAAAAATTATATTGTACAAAATACATGATTACGAGTTGATTAATATAAAACAATGTTTTAAATAAAAATAATACATAATCCTCCATGCTTTCGTGTGAGGATGTGTATTATGATGTGATTTGTATGATTTTTACCACAGAAATTTAACAAATAATAATCATTCGCCTATAAAAAGCGGAAACACACTAATAATAATAATAATATTAATAATAAGGACCTACAAACTGCGAACAATACAAAGACTTGGCAAATTTGCATCGTTCGGACCCATCTGAGTAGCTGAGCTTGAGAGCCTACTGCTTCACGTCCTCGACTCTTGGCTCGAATAGATTTTCCCGATACCAGCCCGACACCACTTAGGAAAATCTCAACCCGTTCTCATCAACATTGGCCATATGTTCGTTAATCCACCCGCCAAATCCAACTGCACATGAATGCAAAAAGCACTTTATACATGACTGACAACTGATAACGTTTGTACTTTTCTCGAGCAGTGCTTCTCTCACGTCCTCTGCTCGTATCACACCTCTCTAAACATTTCATCTAAGTACTGCAAATGCCAAAATTAATATTATTACATATTAACATATTGTGCATATTTAGGCATAGGTTAGGTAAGGTATTTAGGTTCTTTTAACAGTTATTTGCATTTGTAGTACGTGGGTGCAGCATTTACTGAGTTGCGATTGCGCGGACGGAGCTTTAACGAGCCAGGCCTGATGACTGGTTACTGCACGGAATGAACAGTTGGTCTTTGTTAATAAGGACGGACTGCTAGACTAGCATAAATTACAACTCTTGGTTATATAAAAGTATATAGTTGAATTTGAGCTGAAATATAAATCGGCACTCTTTTCTAGTATAGGCTACGAAATCATTGCCTAAACATTTGTTTTGCGAACAGTATGCTACAACGAGCTCCAATGTCTATGTTGAGAGAGAGAGAAAGAAAGATGATCTATAAAACAACGACATTGTGTGCAAATAAGCGAATATATGCGTAAGAGAGATGAACACAAAGACGGTGATTATCAATGTAAAAAAGATGAAGTTTTAAAGAGTGGAAAAGTCCAAGACAAAAAATAAAAACTTCAAGAGGGAAGGGAAGGGGTTACAGAGAGGAAGAGGAAGGCTGAGTGGTGGAGAAGGAGGAGGAGGAAGAGGCGTGGAGGAGGAGGGAGGGCAGAGGGGCGGGAGCAGGAGTGGCGGTGTCCCTGGCCGCCGCCAGAGCTCCCTCCCTCCAGTCTGGCGTTCGTCCTCAGTTCCCCGCCGACACCACCCGCTCACGCCATCAATGATACATGCGAATTACACTTGGCAGCGAGCCGTTTGTCATTATTATTCTATTATTACCTCAACTCTCTGCCAGTTTGCACCTTGAGCGCGGCGCGAGACGGTCCCAGGCAGCTGACGGAGACGCAGGACGCTGCCAGTTTCTCTGCAACAACACAGGACACGTGGTGTGTGTTGCAGCCGTACTCGTGCGAATCCTAGCGGTTAAGGAAACATGAGTTTTGTGGCGTCCGGCGGATTCCATGATTAGTGAACCGGTGAGGATTTGTTGTGAAACGTTTGAGTCTGGCGTGAAGCTGGTTTGAGACTTGCGTGAAGCTGGTGTTCGAGCAGAGGAACGCGGAGGCGTGGGTGGGTAGGGGCCCGTGGGCACTGGTGTAGCAGTGAGGGAGTGTAGCGGGTCACTAGCAGTGCCCATGACAAACATGGAAGGTGGAGGGGGCGCGTCCCCCGCCCCCTCGTCAGTACCACAGGACCAACCCACGGACCTGCGGGTGTCTCGTTCCCCCGAGAGGGCCCCGAGGCCCACGGGCATGCCAGGGGCCCTCATGCAGCCCTCCCCGCCTGCTCTGACAGCCCTTCCACTGGGCCTACAGCAGCTGGCGAGGGCCCCGTCATCCTTCATGATCGGTGACATCCTCCGGCAGACGACAAGGCAGACCCACCACGACCATGTACGACTCCACGACGAAGACGCCGACGACGAGGATGAAGAAGGAAGTCAACACGTCCTCTCTCGTCACGGTAAGTGACCTCACGAGCACGCATTAATAATTTAACAGGTATTGTTTACGTCTGGTGAGGTGATTGGTGCACGAATGTTGTCTCTACTGCTCACGAATTTTATGTATCGACCGTTCACGAATATTACGTTTTTGCTCATGGATGTTATATAGTATCAAATATATATATATATATATATATATATATATATATATATATATATATATATATATATACTAGATGCAAAAGTATTAAATAAATAATATAAATGCATACAACTACATACAGAAAAATTTAAGGATATTATTTTCCTGAGCACTTCCATGTTCTTAAGACATCATCATGGGCTTACTAGGTGTAAGTATATATAAATAAAGACGAATTAGGAGGACAGGTCAATTTGATCGGTTTTCTAATGACAGATTTTTCTCAATCAACCATATCCACTACATTTATTTCTCTCTCACACATACACATTCCCAGGATGCAGTCCATAAGAGCTAACTTCCCAGGTACCTAGTGACTGCTAGATAAACAGAGACAGTAGGTGAAAGAAACTGCCCATTTGTAGTGCCTCAACCGCGAATCGAACTCGGGCCTGTGGACTGCGACCCTCGAGCGCTGTCCGCTCTGCCGCGAGGACCTGTGTGTGTGTGTGTGTGTGTGTGTGCGTGTGTTGCGAGAATTCGCGTATGAGTGTTTTTGGAACGCACATGAGGGATCAAGTATGATTGCGTATGTGTATGAGTAAATGCCATGTGGGCATGTAGGCTACACAGCTGGAAATAATTTTTATCTTTTTCATCTTTTAATACAGATTACATAATAATATAAAAACCATGAGACTCTAGTTGCAAGTATGAACGAAGTTTACATGCGTGTACATATGCTTATATCATCCAGGTACACCCATGTAAATCGTAGGCACCATTGTATATACATCACGTATGCATACACAATAAACTACCCATTCGTACATGTACACATACACACGTGTACTCTATATTCACAATGCATAAGCATTGCACACATGTAACATATCTATCTCCCGTATATACATCGTGGACATCCAGATATGTAGTCATTTAGTACAAGAATGTTTCCCAAACGCATCTGCCTGTACATAGCAACACATACTCTGTGTAAACACGTCAGTACTTATCACACCTACTCATAAAACCTGCATTTCTGCCCGTAACCATCCACTTGTTTTAGTAAAAGACACGTATAATTAAAAATCGTTAACGTGTACTCATGCTAAAGAAATTTAGGTAAAATTAGACACATTAGTCTGCCCAATTAGGGAACTCATCGGTCAGAAATAGTTCTTATAGCAACTGTTGGACCGTTGCAGCCAACAAGGTTCATGGTATTTGCTACACATTTTGGAAAAGGCACGACAAAAAAGGCAAAACTCAAGCCTTAACTTTTATAGCCTAGTATACGGCTCTTATATTTACTAAATTAATCCTAGGCTAGTGAATTTTAGGCCTAGGGCTGCTTATTTAGGCCTCGGACAGGTAAAGTTACGTTCTTTAATAAGCTTTATTTTGTTGGGATAATCCAATAGTACAAAACGTGATTTTTTTTGTTCAACAGTTACGTTTTTGTACGTTTGGGTAAATCGTTGCTGTATTATAATTTTGGAGGATAGGCTGCACTGTACATCTATAAGGAGTAAATGTCCGTTTGTATATCCAAGGTTGGAGGCCAGACGCTTGAGGCTGGTCTTACACACGTGGCGCATGTGGGGTATGGGAGTGCCATAGGAAGGTCAGTGCCACACTTTCAGAAATATCGGTATTTAGCCCAACTTCCCGTGCGTTTTTCATGACGTTAGTATTGGTTGTGTTTGTCCGGACACTTATTTCAGCTCTTTGTTATATAATTTTTCTGGGAGGCATTTATATATACCATACCTAATAGGCAGAACTGCACTATTTGACTTATCAAATCAAAGCCATTCTTAACGGGTCATCAATTGGCCGTCCCTCAGGGGGTCACCAGCTGGCCCATACCCCAGGGGTCACCAGCTGGCCCATACCCCAGGGGTCACCAGCTGGCAATACCCCAGGGGTCACCAGCTGGCCCATACCCCAGGGGTCACAAGCTGGTAATACCCCAGGGGTCACAAGCTGGTAATACCCCAGGGGTCACCAGGTGGCCATCCCTTGGCATTATTGCTTCACTAATGAGGTCAACTTTCCAAGCCTCGTCACCACTCACTAATGAGTTCCTGGAAATAAGTTTTAAGCCGAGTCGAGGAAAACTGAAAGATTATGCTAAAGACGGAACTACTTGTTTGGCGCGAGATCAGGGCTTCAAAAAAAAACCACGCTGAACCGGTTTGTCCTAGCGGTTGCCTGAGCAGGTTACAAGGGTAGATTACGCAACGATAAATAAATAACTTCAATTAACGTTTGACTTGCTTTTAGGGGGGGAAAATAAATGTAAACATTAATGTCAGGAAAAGTATATTTAAAATGAATACGACAATCACAACTATTTGTCTCAAGTTAAATATATTTTTAGTATCAGTTTTGACCTATGTTCCCCAACAGAATTTTGAGTTTCATAACTAGTTTGTTGACCAGACCACACACTAGTAGGTGAAGGGACGACGACGTTTCGGTCCGTCCAGGACCATTCTCAAGTCGATTGACCTTCTAGTGTGTGGTCTGGTCAACATACTTCAGCCACGTTATTGTGACTCCTCGCCTTCATAACTAGTTGTATTCACCTAGATTTCTTAGGCTTTGATCCGGTCGTTATATTTAGACCTCTGTCTGTTTTGACGGTGAGGGATACCCTTTTGAGGAGGAAGTCCAGTGTGACAGACTTCAAGGTCATTAAGGAATACCCTCGAATTCTTTTACACTTAGGTTCTTACGTAAAGGATTGTAATTGAGAGTTAAATATATGAATATAAAATAGAACACGAAATTTTGCATACAGTTTTTCTAAATTTAGATTCAAGAAAGACCTTGGTAAATACAAGGTTGGAAAGAGGGTTGAAAGTTTATAGAACAAAATGCCGGGTAGTATTATTTGCGTGGGATCGATGGATTTTCCAAGCATAGGCTAGACATATATTAAGAAATGAGTTTGGTTGTGTAAAACAGAAGCTGCCTCGCATGGGCTAATAGACCTCTGCAATTTCCTTCATTCTTACACCCTAACGGATCATCAGTGATCACAGGTACACATCGACACTTTTTTATTTATGTGAGCCGGAGTACTCAAATGAAAGCTAGTCAGGGGATTGAACAGGCAACACTCAGGAAGAAATAATTTTGTTTGGGTTTGTCTGGACTGTGAACGAGAACGCAAGGCGTTACTTAAGGCTAGTAACACGGTGTGAAACGAAAACTTGCAGATCATGTACAAGAAAGTCACAACGTGAAGTTTTAAGACAGTGTGAGAGCATCCGTGTCGTAATCTTTACTATCGTAAGTCTGCTTTTTTAGCAATTTAGTGAGGATTTATTTACAAGGGGGTACCTAACCCATTCACCTGTGATGATAAATAACACATGGGTCTATGGAGACACCTAACCGATGCATCTGCGTACGTACCTAAATCATGCGTCCGTGGAGGTACCAAACCCATGCGTCGACGGTGGAACCTAAACCGTGCGTCCATGGAGGTACGTAATGCATGCTTCCGTGACCATGTTAGTTTAAGCCAGATTAACGCAACCGCCAGCAGCGTCGATACTCTGAGGAGCAATGTTAAGTGCGGGGCAGCATTAATCACAGGTGAGACTGGTAAACCCAGGGTAAACCACACAATACGTAATGCTGGGACTTCCTGGGGGCCAACGGATAGACAGACGACTGGGGTTATGAGGGCGTGGGTGTGTTGTGTGTTTTGGCAAGTATGTGTGGGTTTGGTTGTGGTGGTATATGCATGCGTGGGGGTGAGCGGTTGTGTTGAGTAGGTGCGGGGGTTGGCTGTAAGTGTACAGGTACAGTGGGTGAAATTGGCGGTGGGTAGATGAAAGTGGTTAGTGGCGAGTACATGGGAAAGATTCTCATGTATGTTCCCGGTTTTAAATGAACTAGGTTCAAATTATACTTAGATTTAAAGTTTTATTCTTCTCTATCTTATAGAAGTGATTACAGGTGTAGCTAGACTGAACAAGTGTACAACTGTAAAAATGCTTATAACTCGGCCACCAAGAGGTAAATTTACTAATATAAAGAATAGGCTATAAGTGTGACGGTCAACTCGTACTCGCCTCTGGAGACGATCGAGTGAAATACAAAGGTATATCTTCCACAGTTTGCTGAGTGACTAATGTAATATCAATATAAGTTAGACAGCTTGATGTTTTAATGAAATCCTCTATCGCTGCATCGTTTAGATCACCAACCTCAAGCTACAAGTTTCCCTAACTCACTGGGGAAGTTGGGTTAGGTGAATTTTCTAAGCTTTCCCATTGCCATGGACAAGAGCCCTGTTAAGTTTATCGAAGTCCTCCTAGTTCAGCTACTGATCATTTTCAGATATTTTTTTGTTTATATCAAAACAGCAATTTGGCTGTCTTAACCCTGCGTTTGTCTGGTCTTTGCATATATAATTTATTAACAAACCATTCAAAATTCAACGTAAACATACAGTAATGTCCACATAAAACTCAAATTTATTGAGGAATTTGACAAATTTACGACTACTACGAATTACGGACACCTAAATTTTGTCTATTAGGATTGCGATAGACTATTTTAGTCAATTTTTGTATGCACCTCATGCCAATCCCGTGAGCAGTGGTGGAAAGGTAAAAAGTCATATTATGGCCCTCAGAAACTTATCCCCCCCCAATATTTAGCTTAGTTACGTTACAACATTAATGAGATAACGGCAGTCTATATAAATGGACTATGTATAAACTATTCCTACCCTATTTATAGAAAAAACTGACTATTCCCAGTTGATAGCCTAGCCAGGGACTATGCGGTACTGCAGTTCGGTCAGTGGAGCTCCTACAGCGTCTTCTTCCCTTCTACAGGTTTGTCAAG